TCCTGACCCTCCATGTCCACACCTGATGCCTGCTGCTGCTGCTAAGCGGCAGGTTAGTAGTTTTCCTCACTGCGCTGGTGAAGAAAGCTACTCATCATCGACTGCAGACTGAGGCCCGCCGCTGTCTGTGGAGCTTGCCACTGCTCCTACCACCGGTCGCGGGCACCCCTCCTTTGCTGCCATGGCAGCGGAACGCTAGCGCACAGGCCCACAGTGTCCTGAGGATGTGACGATGGCGCAGAAAGGCATGAGACCAACTGACTACATGTAGAGGATTTTAATAGAACGTATAATTTTGGCCTCCCTCTCAGCAGGTGTGAAAGGGCCCACCAATTTTGGACGGTAGCGAGTGGTCCCAACAAGGTGGACAGTCCAAAATCATCCCCTCTGTCTGATGGTTTATTATTCCGGCTTGTCCGCTACGCTCAAGCAACCGAGCATGCTATGGTCCATTTTTGCCAAGGAATGCGAGGGACTCCTCAGCCTCCAATCTCCAACAGCATCACCTGCCACGGTGCATCTGGGTCCTCTGTCCTCCTCCTCCTCCTCCTCTACCAGATGCTGCCTGCTTCCCTCCACTCCATGTCCCGCTTAGTGGAAAAACCACCCATTTCACACTCAATACTTCCCTAGAGCACAAAAGTCCTCCTCTACCTCCTCCTCTTCTTCACCATGTCCTGCCCCCGACATGGGTCATGTGTCCGTTTGAGGATCTGTGCGCCACGTCTAACACAGCACCCTGAACCAGCCAATGATTTAACAGCATTTGTTCCAGGACGTGCTATCAAGAGGAATGACGTCGTTCCAATCCCCATAGTCCTTGCCGACTCACGAATATCGTGGCCTCCACAAACTGGCCTGAGCAAGCTGCAGGTGTCACGCTTGAGGCTGCGCCAATGGCTGACCATCGTAGTTACACAGGGAGTAACCTTTATATCCGCTTGTAACATCAGGAGATTCAGGTGATCGGCCTTATTGTAATCGCAGTTCGTAAAGGCGCCGTGACAATGTGTAGGGCAAGAAATCCACCTTGTTGCAAACGTCGCAGAATCAGGCGATGCTGATGGAAAAACGTTCCTGGCCGCCTGCATCTCAAGGAGGGTGTGCCTTTGCGGTGTAGGAAATGGCCTGAATTGCATGCAAAGTTTACTTTACATTTATAAGGTGAAATGTCCTTGCAGTAGGGAATGGGTGGAATTTAGGAACCTGCTTGACAACCAGATTGAACACATGAGCCAAGCATGGTGCATGGCACAACCCACCTTACTTGACGCAGAGCAGACAACCATTTTTCCTTTCCATCATTGATCGTCAACATGGGTTCCGATTTTTCAAGTTTGCGCCCCGCCCCAGACAAAGCCATCCTGTCGAATTCTCCTGTTCATTTACACTGAGAAGTTTCCTCCTCCCTGTTGTACTACGTTCGCCCTGGACTGGCAAGCAGCATGGAGGAGCGGTATGAGGTGGAGCCCATGGCAGTAATATTCGGGCCGGGCAGCAGCAATGGGTGTGCCCGTAATCCTGCCAGCAACCCTATACAAAAAATGGAACACACCAGCAAGTGTGAAGGAGACCTGAAAAGTGGCACATGGACAGAGTGTGGCGAATTGGAGAACAGCAGCAATGGGATGCCGTACAGGACCCATATATCGTTGACTCTGACTTGGCAAGCAGCATGAGGGGAGGCGAAGTATCAATAGGGGCCCATGGCAGATTAGGTGTTGCCTGGCTTGCAGCTAATTTCGGAGGCCCGTAATCTGCCAGCCAGCAACCCTAATGTCAAAAAAATCAATAACCAGTCATGTTGAGAAACCTGAAAGTCTGGCGACATGGCAGAGTGTGGCGATGGAGACAGCAGCAATGGGAGGCCGTACATGGACCCATGAGAAGACTCTGGAGACTTGCAGCAGCATGATGAGGTGTATAGGGGCCATGCAGATTAGGGCCTGTGTTACATGCAGCTTAGGGAGGCCCGTATTCTGCCAGCATACCCTATGTCACAAAAATTGAACACACCAGCAGTGTGTGAGGAGACCTAAAGTGGCACATGGCAGAGTGTGGCGATCACCGAGACAGCATGTGATCAATGGGAGGCCGACAGGGACCCAAGAAGACTCGGTACTTGGCTCAGCAGCATTGAGTATGCGTATAGGTGCCCAATGGCAGATCTTTGGGGGGCCTGGCAAGCAGCTTATGGGAGGCCCTAAATCCTGCTCACACCCTATGACAAAAAATGGGAACACACACCAGCATGGTTTTTGGTGAGGAGACCTGAAAGTGGCACATGGCAGAGTGTGGCGATGTAGACAGCACAAAGGGAGGCCGTACAGGGACCCATGAGATACTCTGGACTTGGCAGCATTGCTGATGCGGTATCTAGGGGCCCATGGCAATTAGGGGCCTGGCAGCAGCTATGGAGGCCCTTATCAGCCAGCAACCTATGTCAAAAAATAGAACACACCAGCAGTGTTGAGGAGAACCTGAAAAGTGGCACATGGCAATGAAGACACAGTTGGACCTGGCAGCACCTGAGGAGCCGGGCTATAGGGGCCCCATGGCAGATTTAGGGGCCTGGCAGCAACTATGATGGTAGGCCACGTAATCTGCCATACACCCTATGTCAAAAAATTCAACACACCAGGCAGTGTGGGTGAGGACCACCTGAAAAGTTCTCACATCATGGCAGAGAGTGTGGCGATTGGAGACAGCAGCAATGGAGGCCGTAACAGGGATAACCCATGAGAAGACTCGGGACTTGGCAGCAGCATGAGGAGGCGGTATAGGGGCCCATGGCAGATTAGGGGACCTGGCAGCAGCTATGGGTAGGCCCGTATCCCTGCAAAGCTGTTACCCCTATGACAAAAAAATGGAACACACACCAGCAGTGTGTGAGGAGACCTGAAAGTGCACATGGCAAGAGTGTGGCGATGGAGACAGCAGATCAGATGGAGGCCGACAGGGAAGCATAGAGACTCTGGACTTGGCAGCAGCCATGAAGGAGTGTTGTAAATCGGGGCCCATGGCAGATTAGGGCCTGGCAGCAGCTATTGGAGGCCCCGTATAGCTGCCAGCACCCAAAGTCATAAAAATTGGAAGCACTCCAGCATAGTGAAGGAGACCTGTAAAGTAGCGACATGGCATGAGACACAGTGTGGGGGACCTGGCACAGCCTGAGGAGGCGGTATAGAGGGCCCAAGGCAGATTAGGGGCCTGGCAGCAGCCTATCGGAGGAGGCCCGAGGAAACCAACTGCCAGCACCCTATTCAAAAAATTCATACACACCAGCATGTGGAGGAGACCTGAAAGTGGCACATTATGGCAGAGTCTGTGGCGATGGAGACAGCAGCAATGGGAGGCCGTAACAGTGACCCTATGAGAGACTCCTGGACATAGAGCAGCATGAGGAGTGTTCGGTATTAAAAGGGCCTTCATGGCAGATCTTTAGGGGAGCCAGGCAGCAGCATATGGGGCCAGGCCCGTAATCTCACAGCCACACCCTATGGGCAAAACATTGAGACCACACAACCAGTGTGAGGAGACCTAGGTTATGGCACATGGCATGAGACACTGTGGACCTGAGCAGCAGCATGAAGGAGGTCGGTATAGGGGCCTTTATGGCAGATTAGGGGGCCTGGCAAGCAGCTAAGCTGTAGGCCCCGTAATTCTGCCAGCACCCTAATGTCAAAAAATGGAACACACCAGCAGAGTGGGAGGAAACATGAAATGGCACCTGGCAGTAGTGTGGCATGGAGACAGTCAGCAATAGGAGCCCGAACAGGTGACCCCATGAGAGACTCTGGACATTGCAGCAGCAAGAAGACGGTATTATTGGCCCAAGGCAGATTAAGGGGCTGGCAGCAGCTATGGAGGCCCGTAATCTGCCAGCACCCTATGACAAAAAATGGAACACACCAGACAGTGTGAGGTTGGAGACATGAAAGTGGCACATGTGCTGAGAGTGTGGCAATGAGACAGCAGCAGCAATGGTGACTGGCCTTTACAGAGGGACCCATGAGAGACTCATGAACTTGGCAGCAGCATTGCAGGGAGGCGGTCAATAGGGGCCCATGCAGCTGCAGATTAGGGCCTGGCAGCAACTATGGGAGGCCCTAATCTGCCAGCACCTAATGTCAAAAAAAATGAACACACCAGCAGTGGTCATAAATAGAGACCTGAAAGTGGCACATGGCAAAGAGGTTGGCGATGGAGACAGCAGCAATGGGAAGGCCGTACAGGGCACCCATGAGAGACTCTGGACTCTGGAGCAGCAGCAATGAAAAAAAAAAAAAGGGCCGGTATAGGGGCCCATGGCAGATTATTGGGGCCTGGCAGCAACTATGGAGGCCCGTAATCTGCCAGCACCCTATGCTCCAAAAAATTGAACACACTCAGCAGTGTGTGAGGAGACCTGAAAGTGCACATGGCAGAGTGTGGCGATGGAGACAGCACCAATGTGGAGGCCGTACAGGAACCCATGATAGACCTGGACTTGGCAGCAGCATTAGGAGGCGGTATACGGCCCATGGCAGATTAGGGCCTGGCAAGCAGCTAGAGAGACTGAGGCCCCGTAATCTGCCTCAAAGCACCTCTGCACTCAAAAAAATTCAACACACCAGCAGTGTGTGAGGAGACCTGAAAGTAGCACATGGCAGAGCCACTATGTGGCGATGGAGACAGCAGCAATGGGAGGCCGTACAGGGACCCATGACAGACTCGGACCTGGCAGCAGCATTTCCTAGGAGGCGGATAATAGGGGCCCATGCAGATTAGAGGGCCTGGCAGCAGCTATGGGTGGCCCGTAATCTGCCGTGCACCCTATGTCAAAAAATTTGAACACACCAGCAGTGTGAGGGATACCTGAAAGTGGCACAGTGTGGCAGGAGACACTGGGAGGCGTACAGGGACCTGGCAGCAGCATGAGTAGGCGGTATAGGGGCCCATGGCAGATTAGGGGCTGGCAGCAGCTATGGGAGGAGGCCCGTAATCTGCCAGCACCCTATGTCAAAAAATTCAACACACCAGCAGTGTGAGGAGACCTGAAAGTGTGGCACATGGCAAGAGTGTGGCGATGGAGGACAGCAGCAATGGGAGGCCGTACAGGGACCCATGAGAGACTGCTGGACTGTGGCAGCAGCATGAGGAGGCGTATATTAGGGGCCCATGCCAGATTAGGGGCCTGGCAGCAGCTATGGGAGGCCCGTAATCTGCCAGCACCTGCTATGTCAAAAAAATTGAACAACACCAGTAACGTTTATGTGGCCGCTGAGGACCTGAAAGTGGCACATGGCATGAGACAATCTGTGGCGATGGCACAGCAGCAAATGGAGGCCGTACATAGGGGGACTCCCATGAGTGGCAGATTAGTGGCCCTGGCAAGCAATTTCTATGGGAGGCCCGTAAATAGATCTGCCAGCACCCTCTTGTCAAAAAATCTTCAGACACATCAGGCAGTGATGTGGAGGAGACCTGAAAGTGGCACATGGCAAAAGTGTGGCGAATGGAGAAAGCAATCAATGGGGAGGCTGTATTCTGGACCTCATGAGAGACTCTGGACTTGGCAGCAGCATGAGGACAGGCGGTCTAGGGGCCCATGGCAGATTAGGGCCTGGCACAGCAGCTATGGGAGGCCCGTAACTGCCAGCACCCTATGTTTGACCAAAAAATGGAACACACACCAGCAGTGTGTGAGGAGACCTGAAAGTGGTCACATGGCAGAGTGTGGCGATGGTCAGACAGCGAAGTCAATGACCGAATTTTTGCCGCTGGCTGCCATGGACTGCCACCCTCTCTCCTCCGCGGTTGAGGAGCGGAAGCAATTAGCCCTGATGAGCAACTGATGGCTGCCCGTAATTCATGCCAGCCTCATGATCAATCATTAGGTCTCCCTGAGCAAGTCACTACTACCCCCTCGGCTGCGTGTGGGACGATGGAGACCTGTCCCTAGTACCGGCTCACCGAGCCAGGGCCCTCGCCACTACTTTATTTGTCTCTTCGCCTGGCTGTCTGTAGAAGGGCCATGGATATTTTTTGAATGTTGTCTCCCCCCATTTCCTGACCGCCCTCTGTTACTCTGGTCCTGGACTGTACTGGAATGACACCGAAAAGAGTGAATGCCTTTGATCTGCTAATAGTACAAGGTTCTGCCCAAGACCAGTATTAGTTCCACTGCTGCCTGGTAGTCCGACTGCTTTTGATCAGCTGCCTAAAAAAAGCCTCCCTCTGCCACTGATGTTGTGTCTGACGATAGCTCATTAATTAACGGTTGATTCAGTGTCCCCTAATTAAATGCCAAGTTGCCCTGTGTCCCCTGGAGGGATTAACACAGTAGTGCTGTGGCCCTAAGTACAGTCGTTGTGGCCCACAGATGTCTTCTATTTAGATTTTATTCGCCTCATCTAAAGTATTCTGATGGTCCCTGAGTAAAAATTCCATATGTCCCTTGTAAGGCAATTCTGTCCCCTCCCTGAAAGTAACAATTCTGTGTGGCCCAGAGTAGCAAATTCAATGTGTCTGTCCCTGAGTAACAATTCTGTGTCCCTGAGTAACATTTTCTGCAATGTGGCCCTGTAACAGTTCTTGCTTGGTATGACCATCACAGTAACAAATTCTGTTGTTGTCCCTGAGTAGCAATTTTCTGTGTCTTTCCCTCATATAAAAATTCTGTTGTCCCTGTAACAATTCTTGTGTCTGTCCCTGAGTAATCGAATTTCGGTGTCTGTCCCTGAGTACAATTCTGACCTGGCCCTAAGTAAACGAGCCGTCTGTGGCCCCTAGTAAAACAATTCTGTGTCTTGTCCCTGAGTAACCCGTTCTGTGGCCCTAAGTAACGGTTCTGTGGCCCTCAGTAACAATTCTGTGTCCCTGAGTAACAATTCTGTGTCTGTCCCTGCGTAACAATTCTGTGGCCCTAAGTAACGGTTTTCTGTGGCCCTCAGTAACAATTCTGTGTTCCCTGAGTAACACATTCTGTGGCCCTAAGTAACGCAGTTTCTGGTGGGCCCTCAGTAACAATTCTGTGTGTCCCCTGAGTAACAATTCTGTGTCTGTCCCTGAGTAACAATTTCTGTGGCCCTAAGTAACGGTTCTGTGGCCCTCAGTAACAATTCTGTGTCTGTCCTGAGTAACAATTCTGTGGCCCTAAGTAATGGTTTCTGTGGCCCTCAGTAACAATTCTGTGTCCAGTATGAGTAATTCTGTTCTGTGGCCCTGGAGTAACGGTTCTGTGGCCCTCAGTAACATGGTTCTGTGTCCCTCAGTAACAATTCTGTGTTTCTGTCCCCTGACTGTAGTAAACAATTCTGTGGCCCTAAGTAACGGGGGTTCTGTGGCCCTCAGTAACAATTCTGTGTCCCTCAGTAACAATTCTGTGTCGTCCCTGAGTAACAATTCTGTGGCCCTAAGTAACGGTTCTGTGGCCCTCAGTAAACAATTCTGTGTCCCCATGAGTAACGTTTCTGTGGCCCTAAGTAACAATTCTGTGGCCCTCAGTAACAATTCTGTGTCTGTTCCCTGAGTAACAATTCTGTGTGGCCCGAAGTAACTGTTCTGTGGCCCTCAGTAACAATTTCTGTGACCCTGAGTAACGTTTCTGTGGCCCTAAGTAACGGTTTCTGTGGCCCTCAGTAACAATTCTGTGAGTTAACATTTCTGTTGTCTGTCCCTGAGTAAACAATTCTGTGGCCCTAAGTAACGGTTCTGTGGCCCTCAGTAACAATTCTGTGTCCCTGAGTAACAATTCTGTGGCCCTAAGTAACGGTTCTGTGGCCCTCAGTAACAATTCTGTGTCCCTGAGTAACAATTCTGTGTCTGTCCCTGAGTAACAATTCTGTGGCCCTAAGTAACGGTTCTGTGCCCCTGAGTAACAATTCTGTGTCCCTGAGTAAAGCAATTCTGTGGCCCTAAGTAACGGTTCTGTGGCCCTCAGTAACAATTCTGTGTCCCTGAGTAACAATTCTGTCTGTCCCTGAGTAACAAGTTCTGTGGCCCTCTAAGTAACGGTTCTGTGGCCCTCAGTAACAATTCTGTGTTCTGTCCCTGAGTAACAATTCTGTGGCCCTAAGTAACGGTTCTGTGGCCCTCTCAGTAACAATTCTGTGTCCCTGAGTAACAATTCTGTGGCCCTAAGTAACAATTCTGTGGCCCTCAGTAACAATTCTGTGGCCCTCAGTAACAATTCTGTGTCTGTCCCTGAGTAACAATTCTGTGGCCCTAAGTAACGGTTCTGTGGCCCTCAGTAACAATTCTGTGTCCCTGAGTAACGTTTCTGTGGCCCTAAGTAACAATTCTGTGGCCCTCAGTAACAATTCTGTGTCTGTCCCTGTCCGAGTAACAATTCTGTGGCCCTAAGTAACGGTTCTGTGGCCCTCAGTAACAATTCTGTGTCCCTCAGTAACAATTCTGTGGCCCTAAGTAACGTTCTGTGGCCCTCAGTAACAATTCTGTGTATGCCCCAAGTAACAATTCTGTGTCTGTCCCTGAGTAACAATTCTGTGGCCCTGAGTAACAATTCTGAGGCGGTTCTGTGTGCCCTCAGTAAACAATTCTGTGTCCCTGAGTAACAATTCTGTGGCCCTAAGTAACAGTATTCTGTGGCCCTCAGTAACAATTCTGTGTCCCTCAGTAACAATTCTGTGTCTGTCCCTGAGTAACAATTCTGTGGCCCTAAGTAACGTTTCTGTGGCCCTCCAGTAACAATTTCTGTGGCCCTGAGTAACATTCTGTGTGTCCTGAGTAACGTTTCTGTGGCCCTAAGTAACAATTCTGTGGCCCTCAGTAACAATTCTGTGTCTGTCCCTGAGTAACAATTCTGTGGCCCTGAAGTAACGGTTCTGTGGCCCTCAGTAACAATTCTGTGTCCTCAGTAACAATTCTGTGTCTGTCCCTGAGTAACAATTCTGTGGCCCTAAGTAACGGTTCTGTGGCCCTCAGTAACAATTCTGTGTCCCTGAGTAACAATTCTGTGGCCCTAAGTAACAATTCTGTGGCCCTCAGTAACAATTCTGTGTCCCTGAGTAACAATTCTGTGTCTGTCCCTGAGTAACAATTCTGTGGCCCTAAGTAACGGTTCTGTGGCCCTCAGTAACAATTCTGTGTCCCTGAGTAAACAATTCTGTGGCCCTAAGTAACAATTCTGTGTGCCCTCAGTAACAATTCTGTGTCCCTCAGTAACAATTCTGTGTCTGTCCCCCTGAGTAACAATTCTGTGGCCCTAAGTAACGTTCTGTGGCCCTAAGTAACAATTCTGTGTCCCTCAGTAACAATTCTGTGGCCCTAAGTAACGTTTCTGTGGCCCTAAGTAACAATTCTGTGGTCCCTCAGTAACAATTCTGTGTCTAAGTAACGTGTCCCTGAGTAACAATTCTGTGGCCCTAAGTAACGGTTCTGTGGCCCTCAGTAACAATTCTGTGTCCCTGAGTAACAATTCTGTGTCTGTCCCTGAGTAACAATTCTGTGGCCCTAAGTAACGGTTCTGTGGCCCTCAGTAACAATTCTGTGTCCCTGAGTAACAATTCTGTGGCCCTAGTAACAGTTCTGTGGCCCTCAGTAACAATTCTGTGTCCCTCAGTAACAATTCTGTGTCTGTCCCTGAGTAACAATTCTGTGGCCCTAACTAACGTTTCTGTGGCCCTAAGTAACAGTTTCTGTGGCCCTCAGTAACAATTCTGTGTCCCTGAGTAACGTTTCTGTGGCCCTAAGTAACAATTCTGTGGCCCTCAGTAACAATTCTGTGTCTGTCCCTGAGTAACAATTCTGTGGCCCTAAGTAACGTTCTGTGGCCCTCAGTAACAATTCTGTGTCCCTGAGTAACAATTCTGTGTCTGTCCCTGAGTAACAATTCTGTGGCCCTAAGTAACGGTTCTGTGGCCCTCAGTAACAATTCTGTGTCCCTGAGTAACAATTCTGTGGCCCTAAGTAACGGTTCTGTGGCCCTCAGTAACAATTCTGTGTCCCTGAGTAACAATTCTGTGTCTGTCCCATGAGTAACAATTCTGTGGCCCTAAGTAACGGTTCTGTGGCCCTCAGTAACAATTCTGTGTCCCTGAGTAACAATTCTGTGGCCCTAAGTAACATTCTGTGGCCCTCAGTGTCCCTCAGTAACAATTCTGTGTGTCCCTGAGTAAACGTGGCCCTTCTGTGGCCCTAAGTAACAGTTCTGTGGCCCTCAGTAACAATTCTGTGTCCCTGAGTAACGTTTCTGTGGCCCTAAGTAACAATTCTGTGGCCCTCAGTAACAATTCTGTGTCTGTCCCTGAGTAACAATTCTGTGGCCCTAACTAACATTTCTGTGGCCCTAAGTAACAGTTCTGTGGCCCTCAGTAACAATTCTGTGCCCTGAGTAACGTTTCTGTGGCCCTAAGTAACAATTCTGTGGCCCTCAGTAACAATTCTGTCTGTCCCTGAGTAACAATTCTGTGGCCCTAACTAGTGTTTCTGTGGCCCTAAGTAACGATTCTGTGGCCCTCACTTACAATTCTGTGTCCCTGAGTAATGTTTCTCTGTCCCTAAGTAACGTTTCTCTGTCCCTAAGTAACGTTTCTCTGTCCCCAAGTAACGTTTCTGTGGCCCTAA